AAATTCTTATGATGCTTAGAGGATTTTTTTTCTTAAATAGGAAAAGAAAATATATTTTTTCATTGTGGTGTTATACTGAACCCACTATAGCTCTGTACTAAAGAATTGAATGATTATCATATTCATAATCAGTGGTATTTAGAAGGTACAGTGGTACAGGTGCAAATAATAGAATGCTATGATATTCCCATGATATGCCAGAGAGGTGTTACTCAGGGCTGTATGAGAAGTATGTCCACTAGGCTCCATAGTCTTATTATGGAATGCAGATAATGAAATGTTAATTTTTAGACTCTCACTTGTATCTTTTTATCATCATTCCTCCATGCTTTTCAGCTGTAGATGTGCTGAGATCTCTGTGTGCCCCAAGGTGCTTTCCATTCCAGCGTATGAGTCATAATTATTCAACACTAACAGATGAGCCAGCTTTCAGAATGAGCCCAGGAGTGAGTTCAAGACGTGATATCATGAGGAATCAAATCAAGAAGTTTCCTTGATCTTGTTGGATAAAAGAGTTTAAAACATAAGGCTTGTTTCTAAACATCTGCAGCTTGCTGACATCACATGAACATGTCACCACCCACGTCAACAATGCCTGTTTGTTGTTCAGAAAATTGTTCAGTAAAGATGCAATAATGTGGATGAAGTCGTATAGATGCTGTATATTATTAATGTGGGAAAATGGGGGCGGAAATCTGCTTATTTTTCTAGTTTTACTTTTTCCCTTGGAACACACAACAACATAACTTGGAAACAGTAATATTCATCAGCCTCATGTCAGCCTCAAAATTATATATTTGCATTGTGTGTGTGTGTGTGTGTGTGTGTGTGTGTAAAAATATACTTTAAACTATATACAATTCTAAAAATCTAATTCTCCAAATCATCAAAATGTATTATAAAACAATAATAATAAAAAAAAAATTATAATCTTGAAATGTGTATAAATGTGCATAAAATAATATATTTACCGCAATTATCGCAGGGGCGGGGCTAGGGTTGCCCACCCCACTCATAACTGCTGCTTCTGTCACTTTTTCTCTTAACAAGAAGTGCATTTAATCAGTCGCAGAACGCTGCATCTCCATTGTCTCTGAAATGGTTTTCAAAACTGTCCTGGAGCAGCCCAGCAGTCTCACTCATCTAACACAACTGATTTAACTCGTCAGCTCATTAATATAGACTTTAAGACC